AAAAAAAAAAAAAAAAAAGAAAAATCAGGTCTCCATTAGGTCACTCAGGGTTCATTTTGTGGCATTTTTCAGCCTTTGATCTCCAGATCTGGAGTCTGGGGTTGGGGTAGGTGATCTTTGAATGTCCCTTCCAAGCCAAACCATTCTGTGATTCTATGATTAGATTGAAGACTCTTCTGTTCTACTCATGGCATATTTCTAAGGAAAGGCATTGGTGAGGAGAGGCAGATTGGGAGAATCAAGCAGACCTAATACTTCAGCATCTATTTCACATGTTCTCTGCCAGTTGCTATTTTAATCCATTATTACTAAAAAGCTGGGTTTGTTGATGGGATTGCTTATCCTATTTTCTTATTTTCTCACTTCACATTTCAGTTAGAAGAAGCTGTGAAAATTAAGTATTCCTGTAACAGCAGACACAGGCACAACACATGACTAATGCGATGGAAGAAATTTTAGGCAAACGTATTTATGGAGGAGCTTATGTGTCCCTAATCTAATATTCTGCAACTTCTCAACATAGAAATGTATCATGGAGAGACCCGATGCAGTCTTAAACATAGTATTGAAAATGTTACGCTATTGTAATTCAGTAAGTCGTATTCTCTCGCGCGTTACTACTTTTCAGCGTTAATGGTTGCTTCTCATAATGTCATGAAGAAACACCTATTTTTATTTAATTTAGTTCCATTTTCTAAATGGCATAAAAGAATACCAGGTACACCTAATAAAACAGCAATTATCGTGGAATAGATTGCGTTTTTATATTACCTTTCCTTTTTTATAATTACATCTCTGAATACAGACATATGTTATCAGAAGTATTAACGCATGCAATTGGAGTATGGATTTTAGATATATATAAGCTACTGGAGTCATGTAGCTGAACGGGGAGTCTTTGCATTACTGTTGTATATAGCTAGCAGTTTTGGAAAGGGTGTATTTATTTAGCACACCTTTTACAGCTCAGATAATGGCTGGTACGTGGCTCATTCGTACGGGCAAAAGTTGCTGTAAATTGTGGGGACTGTGAAAGAGCAATTTGGGGAGCACTGCAGCCAAAAAGTGTAGGACTTCTTAAGGTACAGCTATTGTGGCTGAAATGATAGAGCCGAGTCCTCACTTCAAAAGTTACTGAGGCTTGTAGTAAACTACGGTTTAGACTGCTAACAAAACTTTTGACAACATGAAGCAATTTCTTGCATTTGCTAGTGCTTTAGAAAATAGCAACTGGATCAAAGGAACTGAGCACACAAAATGACCAGGGTAAGCATGGGGGGGAGGAATGCGATTGGAAATTTGTGCGTTTGCTATGAAAACAATCGATAAAAATTTGTTTTGTTTTAGTAGAGACATTAGAGAAGCCTATCTACATTCAGTTAAATCTGGAAACATACCCTTATGTCAACAGATTTTGCCTGAGGTCCAGAGATGTAAGGATACATCAGCATCTTCGTCCATGGCTGCATTCAGCAGTACGTGACACGACGTGCCTCCAACACCAGCTAAGCGCTATCACACATTTAATCACCAAGATCTCTTCAATATATGCTGTATTGCTCTATGCATTCAAGCGCAACAGAAGAATGTTTTGGATTGTGCGTAGACTAAACAGGAAGATACAGAAGGTGGTAATTTTACTTTCACAATTGTCAAGGCTGTTCAAAATGTGTTGCTACATACAAAAGGAAAACGGAGGATAGGAGAGCTTCAGAAGAAAGCCCCTGCCCCATGGCGAGTCCAGGGAGCACAGGAGGTGAGTGGGAATAACCTTTCCTACCCCCGTAAGCGTTCTGGCTTGGAGCCCTAGGAACAAAACGCTCCTGGTGTCCCCTCTGTAGGCAGGCACGGCAGGACCTGAGCCAATTTCAGCCTCAACCGGAAGGTGCTGTAGCTGGAGCTTTTGCTCCCTAGTCAAGTCTGGCCCATGCGTAAGAAATCACAACCATTTAATGTACCAGTACTCGTATGATGGGCGCGACGCACATGCCTCATAGCAGCACGCACTTTAGTTGCTTGAATATTAGTAGGGTCAGTTGTACCTAACCTTTCTTTTCATAGAGTTAAGGGATATACTGGGGAAAGTGGAATATAGTGGCACTATAACATCACTAATGATACCGTAATTATAAAGAGGAATACAATTCACATTTTCTTCATATGCAAAAGCAAAAAGAAATCAGTTGGTATTTCTGTCAAAGGAGCCATATCTTTATTTAAAGGTAATTTTTCCAGGCTTATTTAACAAGAATAATCCTTGGTGAAATTGATTTTAAGTTAAGGATTTTAAGATTTTTAATATTTATTTAGAAAATAGCAATAATTATATACGCACACATAAAGGACTATAGTTTGCTCTTACATCGTAAGAGCCAACTCTGTGGAGAAGCTTAAGTTGTTCTTTCTACCTCCCTAACTTGAAGCAAGCAAAGCAACTGCAGAAAGCCTTGCAGGTTTCAGGAACGCCCTTGAGGCAGCCCTGTGGAACTGGGACCACAGATATTGGATGTTGCTTGAGCAAATCCTGTGCTTAAGAAAAGCGAGCCCCCACCCCTGCATTTGAACAGACCATGGATTCAATTCCAATGTGACCACATGATGGAGCTGAACCCAGGTATGGCCCCCAGATCTCTGGGGACATACCCTGTATTTCAAAAGGCCACAGGCTGGTGTCACTTGTCACATTAGAGAAGAAAGCAGCTAAAACAAAAACACTCAAGTACGAGCTTCTCCAGAAAGCAAGCTCCGTCCCTGCGCTAGCCCTGCCACCAGGGCTGGGGAGCTGCCCCAGGCTC